TTGAGAAATTTCTTACACCTATTCGTATGCAAGTGGATCAACCTTCTGATTTGAATGGGTGCATGATCTGTAAGGTGCATTACATTTAACACTGGAAAGCATTATAAGGTAAAGTACATGCTGATCTTTTAGACATCTTTATATTGCTTGAAGGATGGGAAACCTCGTAAGCTTCTAAATGTGATGATTTGGTCGTATCAATACCTGTATGATCAAAAGTATATGAATCCGTGAAATTAAAAGCAATACATGAAAACCACTTTGAATAATTGATAGATGAACCAATGCAGCAGAGAAAATACCCATTTGCTCCTCAGCTTTAACTTGATAATTATCGATTGACGTTTTGTTGTTTAGTCTTAAAGTATATGATGCAGGACGTCGCAGATTGTGCGAGTCAGACAAAGGCAAGTTGTTTTAAGATTGGGACGTGTGATCAAGTGTGGAAGGGTTCTCCATATTGACAGCAAGTCATAGGCAATGATGACACAGGCAACAGACTAGCAAAAACACTGTTGACCACTTTCTATATTACATCGCAAAAACAAGTCAAGATTTAGATCGGTTCACATGGTTTTGACTGTATCCACCATGTGGTCACTCGGATGGCAGCAATCGACAAAATCCATCTGTTCCTTGCTGTCTTTTTTGCATTGCTCGTGACTACAAAAGCTCCTTCAAAAATGGACTTAAGGTAGTTCCTCCTTTGTTTCTAGACTTAACTTGCACGCCGTCGCGTTTTCCAAACAACGGCATTTTTTCGCCAGCTTATCTCGTGCAAATCTTTTGCACGGGCTTTCAGCTATCTGACATAAGCTTTCAATATGGCGACAGAAAAAAGAGTCGAATTAGCGCAGATACAAACAAACATCTGTTCGAAGCTCTAGTGGTTGCGACAGCTTGCGACTTGACCATGTTTGTCCACAATAAACGCAATTCAATTTTTACTCAGCAATTTCACATCTGTACACACGATCTGGTTAAGGAAACCATCACATGTTGTTAAGTACCTAGATCTGGCATATACCCATTGTTTGACGAGCACCCTGCCAAACCCAGTTGACCGCAACGCTGACTATATCTTAAATCCATTTGTATATATCAACAAAAAATATAGAGTGTTGTATTCAAAAGAATAAAACCTTCCCAGCCTTGTATCAAGAGATGAACGTAAATGTATGAATATGCGACGTGTTTGAGACTGCTAGTGGGTAATGAATCCAATCACTCCAAGAATAATGTGATGATCGTCATTATTTTCCTATTCCATTTGTACTACGCCTTTGCTGTCCGTGCATCTTGTGTGTCTGTATTCGTTAATAATGAGCATTTAGGCAATCTAAACTCTACATTTTTGTCATCCCCACTGTGTCCTATCACAAAAGCTTGATAATCTATGACAGCTTGATCGTATCGCCAGATTAACGTCCGCTATAGGTAGCACAGAAAAGTACACCCCCACCTCTTTCGCCGCTTTTAAACGACACTTAATTGTCTGAAGCGCCGTTTCTGGCAACGACAATCACATGTGCCAGTAGTTTCACTCCAAGGCTTCTCTCAAAAATTCAAATCCGCTTCGTTGTATGTAGTAGCGTCTTGGATATCATAGTCGACTAACAACTTGAACAGTGCAGTCACCATCGTACCCAACACTCAGCGATTTAAACTATACCGACATGACTTTTCCCATTGAGATGAAAATTTTAGATTTTGCAAAACTCGAATTTTATTTTCTTTTATCTGCGCTCTCACCATAAATTTGCTTATATAGTCCAAAAATTGTTTTTAGATACTTTTTATCGATTGTCGTCACGTCCAACTCTTCTCGACAGTATGTATCAGATGATAGATCAATACAGCAAGGTATAATCACCAAATCTTTTGTATGACATGTACGCAAAATTTTCGTGTGGGGCTTGAAGCTGTAGACATAAAGTGGCGAGATCAAACAGGTAACGCACATAACCTAAGACTAGTGTCGGGACTGTGTAAGAAAAATGGTTTGCCTCAATTTTTTACCGAGACTGAAAAAAGGTACAAAGACAGAAAATCAATTATTTTCAAACGAAAAGAGACCGACGTTTGGTCATGCAGAATGCGAATTATGCCGAGACGAAGCTCGAATGGTCGAGCCAACAAGCAATGCAAGCGTCGTTTCCATCATCAGTGGGTGTCTCACCACAGTAACGCAACAAAGTGCTGCATCATCCTTGCTATGATATAGCAATGTGAGACATGAAGAGTCCTTTCGTCCAACTTTTTGAGATGTTGTGACGCCACGTCACAGATTTGTGTACGGAGCACAACGGCGACTTGCAAGTGAAATGGAACTTTCAAGAAAATCACGTTTGCAAGGTTACAGTACATGCGTTAGTGATTAGGAGCTGGTTAGGTTCCGGTTGCTAAATTTACTTTCCATTCTGCGCTGCGAGTAGCCCAAAAAATTCCAAGACTAACGAGATACTTGCTACTACCTGTGGGGGTTCAACGCCCGGAAGGCGTTGGCCAGAAAAGGGCTACAAGGACACCTCGAAGCCAAGAAGCTAGAATACGTAGCGCGCCGTGAGATGGTGGAGTGGAAGGCAGCCGACATGAAGGCGCTGACTATAGTGGTCCAAATTCTAAGTCCAACCTACCAGTTGATGATTCGTGACGCGGGTCCTGCGTATGACGCGTCAGAAACGCTGCGTGCTTTCTTCATGAAGCATTCACTTCATAACCGTGTTCAATTGAGGACAGAGTTGCATGGATTTTCGCTAGGCAAGGGAGGAGACCGGATAAAGCTCTTCATGAAGTTTGATGATCTGTGTTTGCGATTGACTGCGGTAGGCGAGGTCGTGGCTGAGTGCTTGGAATTTCACCCCAGGAGTATGATGCAATGATACGTATTATCAAGGCCCTCGAGAAGGTGGTGTTGCTGGACGCAAAAGAGATGCAAATATATGAGTTCGAGTTGGCAAAGAAAAGAGAGGAGAAAAAGCAAGCATATAAGGCCGCGCGATGCGCGAGCAAGGAGATTGAGGTGGTCATAGAAGAGGTCACAGAGGCCGACGTGGTGGACGAGGTGACCGTGGTGCCAATGGAGGCTACAATGGTGGTCGTGGACAGCACCAGAAGAAGAATACTGGACCAATATTTCGTAATTACTGCTTTCACTACAATAAGTAAGGTCATAAGCGTGACGACTGTCCTTGCGTTGAAGAAATTGTAGAATGAGTTTTTTCGGCCACATGGATGCTTCAGCTTGAGTGATAACTTGGCTACTTGATAGTGGAGCGAGGTGCCACATGACGGATGGGAAGATAGACTTTGTGGAGTATCAAGACTTAAAGATGCTAACCATCGTTACCGTAGATAGTGGACAGCAATTGCATGCCAAAGGAAAAAGAGCTGTGCGTTTTGTTGTTGGATTTGCGCGAACGATCAAGTTGACGGAGGTATTGTATGTGCCCTAACTGAATAGGAAGCTGGTTTCCGTTCCGGCGTCGAAGGAACGTGGCGTTGTCGTGCAGTTTAAGCGCGATCGAGCGACGCTATTGGTGGATAGAGAAGTGCTAGACGTTATTCATCGAAAGGGTAAGTTGTTCATGTGGCATTTACAACAGCTGAAGGGAGAACAAATCGCCCAGGTAGATGGATTAATGCGTGAAGAATAGAACGTTATATCGGCCAAACGGTGGAGCTTTGTAGGTGCACACGTTCATCGACAACTTGAGTAGATACGTCTACGTGTATTTTCTTTTTTTGAGAGCGCAAGTTTTTGATTGCTTTCGCAAGTTCAAGGCCCTCGAAAAGAACCAAACTGGCTACAGGATAAAGTGTGTTCGAAGCGATAACGGTGGAGAGTACAACAGTGCCAATTTCAATTGGGTTTGTGACACCAACGGCATCGTGCATCAAACAAGTGCTCCGTATTCTTTGCAGCAGAATGGATTGGCGGAGAGAATGAATCGCACCATATCTGAAATGACCTGAGCTGATATGACCAGAGCGATAATGTATCGAATGGACGTGGAGTGACACTGGCAGGGAGAGGTCGTGATTATAGCTGCTCCTGTACTAATTCGTATCCCGAACACTGCGCGCCCCAACAAGGCTCCAATCGAAGTTCTCACCGGCAAGCATCACTCACTTGGGCACCTTCGAGTATTTGGATCTACCGGGTACGTACATCTCGACAAGAGTAAGGGGAAGAAGTGGGACGCGAGGTCGCACCGCTGCATCTTCTTGGGATACGCTGACGGCTCGAAGGCATACCAAGTATGGGACCTCGACAACAAAAGACTGGTCAGAACGCGCACGGTGACGCTAAATGAATGACCACCTGCTCGTTATCACGATGTTGTTCTCGTCGATAGTGGAAATAGCCAAATGAAGTACCCGCTCGAGGACGACAAAGACGGGCTGAGGGCGCCGACATGTGCAAGTACACCCACTGCGACAGACATGGAGATCGATGGAACTTTATGCGTATGGAGGTAGATAGCTCTATTGTCCCAGCTGCCGAAGTTTCGCTTGAGGAGGGCTCTTCGAGTGTTTCTCGCTCTGTCGCTGACACTACACGTTCAGGCGAAACTTCGTTGGAAATTTCTTCTGAACGAGAACTTCGATCTGGTCGCCCCAACAATACTAGAGCTATCTTGTCCAGACAAGTACCGCTGTTACCTGCCCCCACTCGCGATATTGTAGCTCCAGTACAACCAAGGCGAGTAACTTTCAGCGATGATTGCTTGGTGTTTAGCGGTAGATAAGGTCTGAGCGTGGACCTCGTGTTGAACAGACTCGGTTATTGACCAATGGAGACAAAGCTGACGACATGCCTCTGCTAGCTAATGAACCTCATGTGAGCTCTCAAGACTATGGTGTGACTACTCCAAACGTCCTCAGCTTGATGAGTATGAGATCGTATTGGCAGCCACCGAAGTTCCCGCGAGCTATGCGGAAGCGATGGCAATATCCAGGCCAAGCAGTGGAAAGATTCTATTTTAAATAACCCAGGGCATACATTCGCAATCACACTTGAGATTTGCTCAGGTGCCCGCATGGTGCACTAATTATCGGGTTCAAGTTGGTATTCGGACACAAAAACTGATGAGAACGGCAACATTGCCCGATGCAAGCTGGCTTAGTGGCGCTAGACTGTCAAATAATCGTGGCGTGGGCTACAACTACACGTAATCCCCGGTGAAAAGCTCCAGTACTTTTCGCGCGCTCCTTGCGGTGCGCTGCTGCAAGCGTTTGAAGATCCGACAGCTTGACATTGAAACCGCGTTTCTTGCTGGAATGCTTGGTGCTCTTCATTTGTTGACATGAGATTCGTACAAGGCCGTGCAGATCCATGCATGTTTGTCCGTCTCGTCAATGATGACAAGCCTCCTGTGTATATCGTACTCTATGTCGATGATCTGCATGCCGGTTGTACTATGGATGCTGAGGCAGATGCGATTTGGGCTGTTCTTAGTTCCAAATTCATTGCGAAACCTCTCGGCGAAGCTAGATATGTTCTCGCGCCGCAGAAGGGGGAGCTTGTGTTGAGGCACACCCACTTTATTAACAGAATGCTCGAGCGATTCGGGCAAACTGAAGCAAATGCTTCGCGTCATCCGATGGTGCTTGGTCAGAACTTTACGCAAGACAAATCGCATGAGGTGTACAAAAATGATCGAGGCTACCGAGAACTAATTGGGTCGCTTTTGTACGTCGCCAATGCTACCAGGCCTGACATAGCGTTATTTTGTCGACACTCTCGCAGTAGCTGGACTCTCCATGTGAAATGCATTGGCGGGCGGCAGTGCGCTTCCTGAACTATCTCAAAGGCACGTCTACAAATGCGGTGCGGTTCTGCGCTGGAAGCTAATCAACTCAATTTCAAGGCATATGCGGACGCGGATTGGGGGGATGACAAGCACACGAGGCGCTCAACGTCTGGAGTATCAATGCAGCTAGCAGGTGGGTCTGTAGTTTACAAGAGCAAGCGGCAAACCACGGTGGCTTTGTCTTTTGCTGAAACAGAGCATATGGCACTTGCTTTGGCCACGCAAGAGGTCATTTGGCTACGCTACCTGTTGGTTGAGATGAGGTTCAAGGCTGGAGGCCCCACCACGATTCGACTAGACAACATATCTGCGATCAGTGTGGCTACCAACCATTGTTTACGCCTCGCGCGAGTACATTGACCTACGAGCTCATTTTGTGCAAGACCACGTCGAAGCAGGACGCATCAAGCCAGCGCACGTGCCCACGGAAGATCAACTGGCCGACTTTTTAACTAAGGCAATGCCCACGCCACGCCTGTTGCTGCTATGTCGAAAAAGCGGGATCGATGATTTGAAGTTTGAGGGAGAGTGTTGAGGTGTTGTGACGTTTGTGTACGGTGCACAATGGCCACATACAAGATGAAGTGAATCCTTCTGAAAGATCAAGTTTGCAAGGTTGCATAACATGCGTTAGTGATTCGAAGCTGGTCAGGATTCTGGTAGCTAGCTTTACTGTCCATTCTGCGCTGCGAGTAACAAGACATCCTAAAACTCTTGCTTCGACATATTCTACTGTCTTAATTATTGTGGTTGCATCACAAAAACGACATTGACTGAGTGACAGAATATGCTGTATTCGGCCGAAGTGATGAACGCCTCATCCTTGATTGAGATTTAAAAATTGAAGCCAGTTATACTTAACGTACAATCCAGAAAAATTGCTTCAGAAGCGCATTGTGCTGCTTGTATTGGGGGTATGTCTAGCTCGACACCGTTGACAAACCCTAGACTAGTGCTTCTTTAGAGTAGGTAGTGTGTGCAATATGAGCTGCTTGTCCTATTAGGACCATAGCGAACACGACCATTGTCACGCACTTAATAGCTAGTACTATAATGGCGGGTGTGCTGGCGAATGGGAACTGGGTAATGCACGTCTATATCAAGCACTAATTTGTGAACCAGAGTGTGCCTATGCCAATAAATGAAGCACGTTTAGCGACAAATTTTGATTGACAAGGACACGTTTACTTGTAAAAAGACGACTGGAAGCATAGTTGTGCAACATCTCTATGTCGAAAACCGTGAAGGTGTGGTAGACCGTTCACGGATGATGCTGAAACTTTTCGAAGCGAGAACGAGATGTATACATATATCTGAATGCTACAGTTGTTACCAAAATTGGACGTGAAGAGGACACTTTGCGCAGCTCGTACCATATGTTACTTCGATCAGTTTTTATGCCTGTGCAATCGCCGTTACAGCGCAGCAAACGGCACACAGACTGAGCGATAGAATATGGTGAGAGCTATAGCGACCATGATGACAGTGTAGGCAGGTCAAGCTACGATTCTGGTTGAAGAAAATACATTTTGTTAAAAAATGAATTGGGTTTTCTTGAGACTATTTCCATAGACCATCTTGAAAATACGAAATGTTGTTAATGTGATCAGTCACCACTTTAAAAATCAATATTTAATGAAGGGTTTATTGAGGTGATACAAACAGAAAATATTCGCGAAATGTGATACAATTGTGTTTTAAACACTAAAATACGAGACTTCCATGTCACACGCCTTCAATGTAACGGTGAACTACACTCGGTAATTTTACCAGGTCTCGTATTTTTAGTGTTTAAAACATAGACCTGTTGACGTTCCCCGTATTTTTCATAACAATGGTGTTTAAAACACAATTGTATCACATCTCGCGAATATTTTTTGGCAAATTGGCCATTACAATGTTGCTGCGATTGGGGGATGATTTTTTTCAATATTGTAAACATATTTTTCTTATGGCTTCAAGAGTGGATTTTTCATAATAGATGGTTCACGGATGTACTCTGCGAAAGTGTAATCCGTGTAGCGTTCTTAAACATCGTGATTGCACCCGGAAAATTTGGATGCTGACAGGCAAAACCTCGTCAACAACAAAAACACCGTCGGAGAAATTTTCTTCCAAGGAGCCGTAAGCACTCGCCGTTCTTGAATAAATCCAAACGGTGTGACAATTGGAGCTTCCTGTTCAAATCGCTAATAACATTTTGTACTAATTGTAGTGTACAATAATTAAAATGTCGGTTCGAACACTATGACAGAACTCATACCATTCCTGGCAATGAAACGAAGCAACTCACTATTTTCACGTTTCTTTTTTTGAGGAAGAATGACTTGTCCAGTCAATATAACTAGCGCCGTCTCCGAGACTGAGATAGGTTTTATGACTGTTTCGCACGACAGCGCTACATCGGAGTTTAACGACGGCGGAGTGATGGTGACCGGACTGTTTAAGTAGTCGACGGTAATATCCATGTCACTTTCATAAGCGGTAAAGTCATTTGATCCTGACGAGCAAATGACAAAAGTCGCATCGCTGAGGGTAACCTGAAACTTAATCCCGCTGGCACAAGTGATAGTGTCATTTCCCACAATGCCATTCGAGACCGCAGTGGCGTTATTGAGTGCCGAGATGATATCGTTAAAAGGCGGTAGTAGGGTTGAATCAAGACAGTCTGCAATGGAGTCGCTTGTGCTACCCATAGAGGACGTAACGACATAGGCGATACCATTCGCTAGTGTGTACGTGAACTCACCGGCGCCGTCTGTGATTCTAGAGTAGCCGTCGTAGATCACCGAGGTGTTGTCTGACGACACGACTGGGTTGGCGAAGACATAGAACTGAGATTGTCCGTAAAGATTCATATTCATATACGACCGTTAAAGCGTATATAGAAGTCGCAAGGATGGAGTGTTGGGGCCAGTCGGCGTTGGGCAGTTTTTTCGTTTGCAGCAGGAGCAAGCAGCACAAACTTAGCAAACGCATAGTCCTGATACGAAGATGTGGGGGCCCTCATGATAGATATAGATCGGTCATATGGCGGTGAGGCTTGGTGCTTGTTAATTCATATGTAGAGAATCGAGAAATGAGAAACACACCTCGTAGCCTTTTTGATAGTACTAAGAAATGGTACGTTGGGCATATACGATGTCGACTTTGTAGATGTCGTTCAATCAAATTTGATACGTTTAAGCGAAATCTTTATCGAAAATAAACAGTCCCAACTTCATTTCTGATCTGCACAACCGGAAGATATCCAGTTGTTTTATCTTCTGATTATGTACATGTGACAGCTACCGTAGTACTGTGGGCATGTCGCCACGTTGGTTATCTCATCTACTTGACATGCTTCATAACATCAAATAGCGAAAACTATTGATTTGAAAAAAACTAAGAATGTAAACACTTGGAGTAATAAGTTAGCGAAATATTTTTCAGGGATAATTTAGGAGTCCTTGCAGTGTCAGTGCTACGGGACTCGAGTTTTCAGTATGTACGGTCAATTTGGAACAACCAATATCCTGAATCAATGCCAGTATGGTTTAATCGTGGCTCAAAACATCAACGACTGGGTAAGCCCATCGCGAAAATCGTTCCATTAGCATCGTTAATGTGCATTATACGACACTGCTGGTAGCGAATACATTTTTCATCCTCGTTATGTCAAAGCATTTAAAGGCACTTGTCCTGCACAGCTTCGATGCACGTTTGCCACTGCAGACGCCCATTAACACAAACAACAGCTGCTCAAATTTGGAAACAGGAGTCATAAAGAAACAACGACAGAGGTTCTTTAATATAATTTTTAGCATTGATCTGAGAGGAAGGTCCAACAGTAAATGAGCATAAATTCAAGAGCTGACAGACTGTTCCTTGTGTCTGTCCGTCCGATAATTGCGCTCTGCACTCACGTAGCCGTGCCAGTGTATATCTAAAGTAATCGTGTGCTTCTCTTAGACACAATTGCTGTTGGCAGGCAACAGCTAGCTATACTTCATCGAGCGCGCCGAAGCCGGGCATGTAAAATAAATCAATTAATAACCATCCGAAGTTCTAAAGAACATTTTACAATGGTGATGCTCTACCGAACTCTACGGTTTTGGTCGATTCCGAGCAGGTCACAATTTCGACGATACTCAATCGCTTGTGTTAACTGGATCTTTTCGTCTGCTTTACTTTACCACACTACTTCTTTGGGCACGATCGTGCAGAAGTGATGACCGCGCAATGTAGTAGTCCGCTGACGTAGAGTAGTAGTATTTTAATGATGCGTGTCCTTTTTTACTAAAATGGTCGAGATTGCCTTCGCAAATTTTGTACATCAGCAGCGGTCTTCAATCATAATTTGTTTTTATATGTTTTTTATCGATTCTCCAAGTCTTGTCTTCAAGGCTCATCATGCAAAAGCTTCTCGACAGTATGTGTCAGATGATACATTAACACAGCAAAATATAATCACCAAATCTTTTGTATGACATGTACACAAAATATATTTGTCGGGGCTTGAAGGTGCAGACATGAAGTGGCGGAACCAAACAGGTCACGCACATAAACTAAGGTTTCGTAACCGTCAATGTCATCAAATTATTGGACTGTGTATGAAAAATGGAACTTTTCACCGAGACTGTAAAAAAAGATACAAAGCCAGGGAATCAGTTATTTTCATACGAAAAAGAGAGTAACGTTTGGTCATGCAGAATGCGAATTATGCCGAGACGAAGCTGGAATGGTCGGGCCAGTTAGCAATGCAAGCGACATTTATCATCACTAGGTGTATTACCACAGTAGCGCAAGACAGTGCTGAGTGGGGGTACGATGTTCAAGTAGTCAGTCGACTATGATATCTACTACGCTACTACATACAACGAAGCGAATTTGAATTTCTGGTAGAAGCCTTGAAGTGAACTTACTGGCACAGTGATTGTCATTGCCAGAAACGGCGCTTCAAACAATTGGTAGTGTAGTTTTCTGCGTTAATGTTAATCTGGCAATACGATCAAGCCATCGCTGATTACCGAGCTCCTGTCATAGGACACAATGGGATGACAGAAATATGGAATCTGGATTGCCCGAATGCTCATTGTGAACGAATGCAAACGCGCAAGATGCACAGACAGCAAAGGTGCAGTCAAATGGAATAGAAAAATACTTACGGTATTACATTATGCTTGGAGTGATTTGATCCATAATTCACTAGCCATCTCAGACACGTCGAATGTTCATACATTTACGTTTCTTCACTTGCATGTGATCATTGTGGCTCTTGATACAACGCTGCAAAGGTTTTGTTCTTTTTTATTCAGCACTCAATATTTTTTGTTGATATATACAAATGGGGATTTAAGACATAGTCAGCGCCGCACATATCGCGACCGCACAATAAACAGGGTTTGGCAGGGTGATCGTCAAACAATGGATATATGGCGGATCTAGGTACTTGACAACATGTGATTTCACATCTTTACACACGCTCTGGTTATAGTGACTTTAACCAGATCGCGTGTATAGATGTGCTAGCCTTTGAGCAGATGTTTGCTTGTATTTGCGCTAATTCGACTCTTTTTTCTATCACCATATTGAAAGCTTAGGTTAGATAGCTGAAAGCCCGTGCGAAAGATTTGAACGAGATAAGCCGGCTAAAAGATGCCGTTATTAGGAAATCGCGACGGCGTGCAAGTTACAAAGGAGAAATTACTTATAGCACAGTTCTTCAGGATCTTTTGTTGCCAAGTGACGAGTAATGCAAGAAGAACAGCAAGGAATAGGTGGATTTTGTCGATCGCTGCCATCCAAATGACCACATGGTGGATACGGTTTTAACCATGTGGACCGATCTAAATCTTGACTTGTTTTTGCGATGTAATATAGAGTGTGTTCAATAGTGCTTTGCTAGTCTGTTGCCTGTGTCATCATTGCCTATGGCTCGCTGTCATTAAGTTGAACCCTTCCACACTTAATCACACGTCCCAATGTCAAAACAACTTGCCTTTGTCTCGCACAATCTGCGACGTCCTGCATCATATGCTCTAAGACTAAACAACAAAAGGTCAATCGATAATTATCAAGTTGAAGCTGAGCAGCAAATGGGTATTTTCTCTGCTGCATTGGTTCATCTATCAATTATTCAAAGTGTTATACATGTATTACTTCTAAATGTGATGAATTGGTCGTATCAAAATCAAACAGGTTTTGATACGACCAATTCATCACATTTAGAAGCTTACGAGTTTCCCATCCTTCGAACAATATGAAGATGTCTACAAGATCAGCATGTACTTTACCCTATAATGCTTCCCAGTGTTGAGTGTAATGCACCTTACAGATCATGCATCCATTCAAATCAGAAGGTTGATCCACTTGCATACGAATAGGTGTAAGAAATTTCTCAATGCTGCAACTTCTTAATTCTTAAGAAGTGCTAATCCTGTTGATAATCATGTGGAGTTGTGGTCATAATCACTGCGCGCAACAACTTCAATCTTTAAATAAATCAGCACATGCTTGTTTGACGCATTGAAGACAGGTTTGCTGATAGTAAATTGACATCCACAATGCGGGATTTGCAACATCAATTCGCTATCGAGACCTTCATCGACAAATTGCTTAGCAGAATTGACTTGTCGGATTTTCACCACGTTTCATATTTCACTTTTAATTTCTCCTTCAAACTAGCAATTGACTCTGAAGACACTTTCACTATTCGCACATGTGGATCTTCATGTCTCCCCGTCCATTTCTCGCTTTGGTTATGTCCATTTTGTTCGCGCTTTCGGTGAGCAATAACTCTGCGCTTGCAACCATCCACGATGAGACAGCCCAGCGCCGATTGGCTACAACAATTATGGACGCGCCTTCCTTACGACTTCATTTCACGCTTAAAAGGCCTTCTATGAGTATCTTTGGACAATCCCAGTTTTATGTCTTTGCCAATCCGATCGTGTCCTCTGACAACACCTCGATAATGTACGATGGTTACGCCGCCTTCATGGACGGCACCACCGATTACACGTACATGCTGGTAAATGGAATTGCCTATTCCGTGACATCCGCTCTTGGTAACGGGGGCAATTTCACTGCTCAGTGTATTAAATCAAACCTGCTACCGCCTCTGAGTGGCATCATCTCGGCGCTTAATAATGCCACTATGGTTTCTAGTGCCATCGCTGGCCATGAACCAATCAATTGCGCCAGTGGAAATCTCTTCAAGACTACTCTTGGAGATTCAAAATTCGTCATTTGCTCTTCAGGCTCAAATGGTTTTGTCGCTCATAATTGCGATTTGGATATTGTTGTCGACTATTTGGACAGTCCAGCCACCATAACTGCGCCCAAACTAAGTGACGATGAGGCACTGACTTGCGAAACTGTCGTGAGTCCCCTTCCAGTATCGGAAACGACGCTCGCCTTA